GGAATAACTCACCGTACCTTCCACCCGACCGACGTTGACGACTGATTCCGGCCTCTCCGACGAGCAATTGCTGGTGGCGGACCCGACGGAAACGCTTCGCCGTCCTCCTTTCCCGACTACTCTCTCCTTCCTCCCGGTGCTCCCCGCAGCTTACCTCCCTCTTCTCAGAGCTGCTCGCCGGCAGCTGGCCGCCCTCAATGACCTGCCGCCAGCCCTTGCCGTTGAACGCCGCCGCCGACGACTTCCTCCGGCGGCACTCCTCCGCAACCCAGTAAAAGCCCATAACCCAAAACACCTGAAGCCCAACAGGCCAGCACGCACGCATGAGAAACACAGACAGACTGATTTCTTTTCTCAAAAAAGAGAAACACAGACAGAAGGAAGAGGCGAGCAACGCCGAGATTGGTACATGATCTGATGGCCACAAAAACGACCTGAAGTCAATTACAAAACAGACGACTGAAATTTAGTAAAAATGTTTAAGAACCCTCCATTCGGTTTTCATAACATTCTATTTGGTCTTTTTTTCTTCTATCGTCATTCTTTCAGATTTTTTATTTTACTTTTTCTTTCTTTTTTCATTTTGTATTTTTCTAACACAGTTGAATTTTTTAATATGCCTAGAAGATTTGTTATATATAGGTTGTATAGATTTTAGGTACACATTGAAAATTCTTAGTATACATGTTGTATATATACTAAATACACATTGAACATTAATCTAATTAATTTCGAACATTTCTTGAAAGCACATTGATTTTATCTCAAATAGAGAAACATTTCTCTAATACATGTTGAACATTTTTAGAAATATTAATAATTTTTCAAATACACGGTGATCGTTGAACACTTGCAAAACACACATTGAAGATATTCCAAATACATGTCGAACATTTTAAATACACACTGAACATTTTTTCACTTATTTTGCCAAATACATGTTGAAGATTTTAAAAATAAACTCTAAATATTTTAATAAAGGGTAATCTATGATGATCATTTTTTAGAAACATCATTAACTTTTTTAATACATAACAAACAATTCTTGAAATACAGCCATGGGCCGGGCCGGGCCGGGCTTGGGCCGGGCCTAAAAAAGCCCACGACAAAAAACTGAGACCCGGGCCCTCTCAGGCCCTACCATCGGGCCTACTTTTCAAGCCCAAGCCTGGCCCATCTGGTAAAAAGCCCTGAAAAGCCCTTAGGGCTTAGGGCCGTGGGCCGGGCCTCTTCCTTAAAATGCCAATATGCCAAGCCCAAGCCCGTCCACGCCCTGCTGGTGGGCTGAAAACTCAGGCCCAAGCCCGGCTCACGGGCAAGCCCATCGGGCCTAGGCCCTAGATTTTAGGGCCGGGCCTGGGTGGGCCGACAGGGCCGGGCCTGGGTGGGCCGACAGGGCCGGGCCTGAGATGGCCAGGACTATTTGATATACAATGAATAATATTCCAATACATTAAGAACAATAGTTTTCAAACCATTACTTAATTATGTATATTTTAGAACATTTAAAAAATTTAAGAGGAAAAGTAAATAATAATTATAGGAATTTGCCAGAAATAGAGAAATAAATGAAAAATGGGTAATAAATGAAAGGAAAGAAAAATGAGCCGAATGTGCTGTCCGCTCGCGGTAGACAGTCATCTTAAGTCACGCACTACACCGGACCTGGCCGAACTAATGGTTTTACAGGCGATGCTTCCTATATAGAGATCGCTTATGTAGACCGTTGTAGCTATATGTCGATTATAGCGAGGTTGTAGCCCCCCATGCTCGCAGCGCCGTGCATATGGGCTCCCCCATGAACGTTTTCCCGCTTGATAGCCTTATCTCGTTTGCCTCAGTCGTTGTGTTTGATCGCTGTAGGTCCCATTATGGGTCGTTCTTCTTTTTCTGTACAATGGTTGGAGTTGTCCGGCTTTTAGTTTTTATTTTGCTTTCTTTCTTTCTTTTCTGTGTTTTTATTTACGGGTTTCATCACTTTTCTTTGGTCTTCACTGTATTTTCACTGTTTTACGCCAGGTTTTTCCTTTTACAGTTTTTCCTTTTCATTTTTCTATTACTTTTTCTTTTTTTTATTTGGGTTTCACTATATTTCACTATTACGTATATTTTTCCGTGATTTGCAGGTTTTTGTTTTCTTATTCTTTTCTATTTATTTTTCTTTGATCTGATTTTTTATGTTTTCTTTTTCTCCTTTTTCCTAGACATATGTACATTTTTCATATACGCAGAACCTTTTTTATGCATGTTTTACATTATTTTTTAAAATGTATGATTAATTTTTTAAATACTCCCTCCATTCCACAACGTAGTGCTTCCTCTATCCTCGTGCGTCAACTTTGACCGTAAATTTAACTACCAAGACCGATTGTGGCGGGAGCAAAAATTATATCAGTGAATTCGTATTCGAAAGAAGTTTTCAATTATATAATTTTTTCTCCCGCCGCAGTTGGTCTCGTTGGTTAAATTTATGGTCAAAGTTGGACCTCGGAAAGCGCGGGCGCACTATATTTTGGAATGGAGGGAGTATATGCTTTGATGCCTACTTTCTTTTAATATGCATTGTACTTTCTTGTATATAGTACCCCATGCAAAAAAAGTATATAGTATAAACAGTTTTTTATAACCATTCAACATTTTTCAAATACATGATTACATTTTTTAATAAATGTTTTGATTTCTATACTTTGTACATATTATACATTTTCTGTATAAGCTAGGGACATTTTGTTATCCGTGTTTAACATTTTTCAAATACATGATGAACAATTTTTCAAATATTTTTGATGTCTACCTTGTTTGATATGCATTGTACATTTTTCGTATACACTTGAAACATTTTTTTCAAAACACCTCAACGCAACATTCTCTTTCGGACAAAGTTGAGTAATACTCCCTCTTGTGTCTTCCTCTATCGACACGACGTTAGATACTAGGGGGCCTAATATTTTCTTATAAAAAATTGTGATGTTAGACACAAGGTTCCCTTTTCCTACAATAGTACCTTCATCCCGCTCAAGTTGAATAATTTTCTTTTTTTTTCCTATGCTTTCTGTTCGCAATCAAATAGGAGAATAGCGCATCGGCAAGAACCGCTCTGCCAAATGGACACTCTTAGCATCCGGGTAAATGTATAGAAAACAACCTCAAACGACCGATTAACCTCGGGAACAACGAGCATGTGAGTGGGCAGGACAGACCAAGGAGTGATGAGTGATCATGGGAGCACCGTGGAACAAGAGATGCGGTAACCCGACAGCGCCGAATAAGTAACTAGCCAGGGGAACCAACATCCATGTGGTTAGAAAGCCCAAGCAAGATCTTCACAACACCTAGGACCAGGGGTTCCTCACACACCCACCCAGACATGCAAGGAATCGGCGCGGCAGCCCTGACAACATCCAGCATCTGAGCACGCGTGAAAAACCCCGGCCAACAGCGACTCGTACATGCAAGCAGACGAAACGATATTAGCCATCGTGACAGCCTCGACAACATCCACCATCCAAGCATATGCAAATTAACAAGGTCGGCCAGATGCACACCCACCCGCAGGGCAAAGCCGGCCATGCAATGCTCACATGTTTACCTGGGCGCATTAGCGTACCCGGCTCGCGTGAACCAAACAACCCAGCAGGAAATGAACGACACTGACATGCCGAGCTGGCCTCACCCGACGCATGCGGACCAACGCACGAGACGACACACACAAACGCAACGAAAAACACTGAGGAACACGCGGGGCCGATTGAGCACGATGCACGCGCAGATCGGACAGTGCGGAGCAGGCACGAGAAGGGATAAACCTAGGAGACAGGCACTCTGCATCTTTTGTAAGAGTAACATATTTGTGTGCGTCTATGATATTGTGGTCCAAATCTCAAAGTATATCAACGGCAAAAATACCGTATTGCACTCGACCGCTGTAGAAATTAATGTCTTCTTTCCCCTAAAAAATAATTAATGTCTTCTCAATTATATTAGGATAACGTTGTTGTGGTTTCCCAGCAGAAGAAAAACATGGCGAACAGCGCTCCAAGAAAAAACAAGGTGGTTTCTAGGAAGAGAGACAACACAATTATCATCCTCACCCCGAGGAATATACGGGAGGAGATCTACCTACTCGTATAGGGAAAGTTCCAAAACGAAGGCCATGCAGCGTCGAGGGCCGTTAATTGGACGTGTCCAGAGAGGATCAGACGTGGTTGGCGCAAGGCATCTTCCTGCGCACAAGTTATTTTTTCCTGGGTGGGTCAGAACACGTGAGGCGACTGTGAGTTGGTCATGACACGTGATGTGCGACTGTGACTGTGCGAGATGATTTCTTGAGTGGGTCAAACGTGCAAGGTGAACCGAGCCAGGCATGCTACAGGTGCTGAGATAGTGTAATACTCTCTTCGATCCATATTATTCGTTACACATGTTTAATACCTGCTCGGTCTGAAGTTATTTGTCGCTCAAACGGATATAGTATTTAAGACTGAAATACGTCTAGATACGTGTATTTCAGTGACAACTAATTCTGAACGAAGATAGTATAACTTGGTATTAGAATTAAACTAACCACAAGTAAGGAGGGAGTATCAATCAAACAGTTCACACCTCAAGTTCGGTATTGTAGATGCTTTTCTTGGACTAAGCTCTTGTCTTACATGGTTATCTAGCAGACAGTACAATACTAATCACACCACGTAATGTAATACCAAGTCTTTAGTTTATGGATGTGACAAATTGATTATGATTAAGTTCTTGTCTCCTAAGTAAAGAGCCATCAGCATTGCGGCTTGTGATCTCCTCCTGTTTTTTGTCCTAGTGTATTGCTTCTTCGGATGGAATCATGAGAATGGACGGGTTAGCATCTGGAGTGTGCCCCTATATAATAAGCACCTCCTACTCTATATCGCCTTCACCCCACCCCCACCCAGTCTCCTCATCTTCTCCTCCCTCTCATCGCCTCTACCGGCTGAGCTTTTACAAGCTCCAATAAGTAGCTGCGCCGTATGCACGTCCACGGTGTCTCTCCAATGGCGCTCCAAGCATCGCTACCTTCCGCGTTCCTCGCGGCCCCGACCATTGCTCACGCTTCTTGTCCGCGGCAGGTACATATACGCGTGTTACTTTTCTCATGTAAATGTTTGCCTTTGGGTTAGGTCTCCGGTGCCGGTTCGCCGGCCGGAGTATCTGTTTGATGGATGTGTTGTTGACGGGGTGATTCTATATTTGTCGTACATTTGCAGTTCAAATTGCGTGCGAGCGCTGCGGCCGCGGCTAGCAGCGCCAGCGCCGGCGACGGGAAGGTGGTGACGAGGAAGGAGCCAACGACAGGCGCATGGAAGATCGAGTATTCCAGCGAGAAGCCGGAGACGCCGCTGCTCGACACCATCAACTACCCCGTCCACATGAAAAACCTGTCCACCACGGTATAATATATTGGCCTCCAGCTCGGGCTACCTATATGATTTATATGATTGCACTTTCTCCAGAGGATGATTGTACTTTCTCCAGAGGATGTCATAAATTCTAAATTCTATTTCGCCGTCCGGTAGCCATGACCCTTTTTAAATCTTTATTTACTACATAGTAGCTTGCTAAATGAATTTGGGTTGGCGTGGCAGGACTTGGAGCAGTTGTCTGCGGAACTCCGGGCGGAGATCGTGCACACGGTGTCCAAGACCGGCGGGCACCTGAGCGCCAGCCTCGGGGTGGTGGAGCTCTCGGTGGCGCTCCACCACGTGTTCGACACGCCGGAGGACAAGATCATCTGGGACGTCGGCCACCAGGCCTACCCGCACAAGATCCTCACGGGCCGCCGGTCGCGGATGCACACCATGCGCAAGACCTCCGGCCTCGCCGGGTTCCCGAAGCGCGACGAAAGCGCGCACGACGCGTTCGGCGTCGGACACAGCTCCACGAGCATCTCCGCGGCGCTCGGGATGGCCGTCGCGCGTGACCTCCAGGGCAAGAAGAACCACGTCATCTCCGTCATCGGAGACGGCGCCATGACTGCTGGACAGGCCTACGAGGCCATGAACAACTCCGGCTTCCTCGACTCCAACATGATCGTCGTCCTCAACGATAACAAGCAGGTCTCCCTCCCGACCGCCACCCTCGACGGCCCCTCCAAGCCGGTGGGCGCACTCAGCAAGGCGCTCACCAAGCTCCAGTCTAGCACCAAGTTCCGCCGGCTCCGGGAGGCCGCCAAGACCATCACCAAGCAGATCGGCGGCTCCACGCACGAGGTGGCTGCCAAGGTGGATGAGTACGCACGTGGCATGATCAGCGCCTCGGGCTCAACGCTCTTCGAGGAGCTAGGGCTCTACTACATCGGCCCCGTCGACGGTCATAGCCTCGAGGACCTCGTCACCATCTTCGAGAAGGTCAAGTCCATGCCGGCGCCTGGGCCCGTGCTCATCCACATCGTGACGGAGAAAGGGAAGGGGTACCCACCAGCGGAGGCCGCCGCGGACAAGATGCATGGCGTGGTCAAGTTTGACCCGACGACGGGGAAGCAATTCAAGACCAAGAGCCCGACCCTGTCATACACGCAGTACTTTGCTGAGTCGCTGATCCGGGAAGCGGAGGGGGACGACAAGGTGGTGGCGATCCACGCGGCCATGGGCGGTGGCACGGGGCTTAATTACTTCCAGAAGCGGTTCCCGGAGCGGTGCTTCGACGTGGGCATCGCGGAGCAGCACGCCGTGACTTTCGCTGCAGGGCTCGCCGCTGAGGGCATGAAACCGTTCTGCGCCATCTACTCGTCATTCCTGCAGCGCGGGTACGACCAGGTGGTGCACGACGTGGACCTGCAGCGGCTGCCGGTGCGCTTCGCCATGGACAGGGCGGGACTCGTCGGTGCAGACGGCCCTACACACTGCGGCGCGTTCGACGTGACATACATGGCCTGCCTGCCCAATATGGTGGTCATGGCGCCTGCCGACGAGGCGGAGCTCATGCACATGGTTGCCACAGCCAACGCCATCGACGACCGCCCAAGCTGTTTCCGCTTCCCCCGAGGTAACGGCATTGGCGCCGTGCTTCCTCTCAACAACAGAGGCACCCCCATTCAGGTAGGCAAGGGGAGGGTACTCGTCAGCGGCAACAGGGTAGCCCTGCTAGGATATGGCACCATGGTGCAGGCCTGCATGAAGGCGGCGGAGGCACTGAAGGAGCACGACTTGTTCATCACCGTCGTTGACGCCCGGTTCTGCAAGCCGCTGGACACGGAGCTCATCCGTGAGCTCGCGGCCGAGCACGAGATCCTCATCACCGCCGAGGAGGGCTCCATCGGAGGCTTCGGCTCCCACGTGGCGCACTACCTCAGCCTCAACGGCCTCCTCGACGGCCCCCTCAAGGTAAAGACCCATTCAGATACGAATACAATAGTGTTCCTTTGTGAAGAAGACGGAAACATTCCTCATTGGAAATTTTTAGCATGAATTGGTCGCTGACGGTTATATTTGTCATGTGATGTTGTTGCAGCTGAGATCGATGTTCCTGCCAGACCGGTACATTGACCACGGCGCCGCGGAGGACCAGATGGAAGCAGCTGGGCTGACGCCGAGGCACATCGCCGCCACGGTGCTGTCCTTGGTGGGTCGGCCACTAGAGGCGCTACACCTCAAGTGAATCAATCATCCAACTAGCATGTGTCAGTGTTACACACCCACATCCACAATATGACTCAGCACATAAAATAACGGAACTGCTGCTGCTCCCTATTCCCTAACTGTCCCGGTGCATGAACAGTACATGCTGCCTTTGGCAATGGCGGCAAGTTCTACGTGTGCGCTGCCGCGCATGCCACCATGGTAGTTTCTACCAATTCGTTGGCGCAAGTGGTGCTTTACCCAAAACAATCCATGGAAGGGCTCGACAATGCTACAACCCTAGGTAGCTGGAGATGCCATGCTAATGTCCGTCAGTGCGCATGTTCCAATGCTTTAAGTCCAGAGAAGATACATTGGAGCCATGCTTTGAGCCGGTGGATAGATACATACATACACATGCTGACATGCATCCATATGTTTTTCCCTTGGGTATTGTACAGATGGTTGTTGCACGTCTATTAATTAATTAATTAATCAGACCATGAAATGAAATATCTTGTCTTTAGTTCACAGATGTGGCAAATGAAGTGGTTTCCTCCTGTTTTTTGTCTCCTAGGAAAAGAGCCAGCGAGCATTGCGGCTTGTGATTTCCTCCTGTTTTTTGTCCTAGTGTAGTGCTTGCTTTGATGGAATCATGGGAATGGACGGGTTAGCATCTGGAGTCCACGTTGTTAGGTGGCAGAATATTCCCAGGTGCCATGATTTTCATGAGCTCCTGGCTTCATTCTTTGGAGTACTAGCAAGATCCCACATTAAAAATCATGACATGACCTCAGTAAGAGAAACTTAATAGCTGGTATCTTTCATGGTTACATAGCAGACAGTATAATATCAATCAGACAGTTCACACCTGAAGTTTTGGTATTGCAGATACTTTTCTTGGAGTAAGCTCTTGTTTTCCCCGGTTATATAGCTGACACTATAATATTATCAGACCACGTAGTATAATACCCTGTCTTTAGTTTATGGGTGTGACAAATTGATCATGAACAAGATCTTGTCTCCTAGGAAGAGCCATCGGCATTGCGGCTTGTGATCTCCTCCTGTTTTTTGTCCTAGTGTATGGCTTGTTTTGATGGAATCATGGGAATGGATAGGTTAGCATCTGGAGTTACGTGGTTAAGTGGTAGAATATTCTTTCTGGACTATGGGGTATTCAGTATGTGGTCTCCCAGCCAGGAGGACCAAGCCGAGGACCCCCGTGCCGGTTAATTATCGGACTTTTTTTTTTCGAGCTGTATTATCGGACCTCTTCGCGCAGCCCATGGCATATACAAGGAAGATTCCACAAGACGAGGTCTTCTAAAACCTAGGCCTCCGCTATATTATATAAACCTAGGCTAGGCTAGTCGATAGAACATATTATATAGATTCATACACACATACGATCTCGAGGTAGATACACATGTACTATGTACCCCATCCACAATCAATACCATACAAGCATGACGTTGGGTTTTACCATTTCGAGAGGGTCCGAACATAGGTAAACGTTGTGTCCCTTCTTCATCGTGTTACCATCGTGCCAAGATCATCAGCTTGGGACCCCCTACCCGAGATCTGCCGGATTCGACTCTGGCTAGGTGCCATGGTATTAGTGAGATCTTGGCTTCATTCTTTAGACTATTAGCAAGATCCCATATTAAAATCATGACATGACCTCATTCCGGAGAAACCTAATAGATGGCATTACACATTTCCAGTGTCGAGAGTGGATTTTTTTTAGCTCGAGTTTCATGGAGCCTTTTTTCGGAAACTTCAAAAATCATACTCTATTATACTTTGACTACAAAAGTCCATATTTTTTCCAGCACACACCAAAGTGTATTTCATTATGATTTTTGAATTTTTGAAAAAAGCAAGCTCCATTAGGAATTTCCGGTGTCTTTCATGATTATATAGCAGACAATATAATATCAATGAAATAGTTCACCCCTGAAGTTTCGGTATTGCAAATGTTTTTTCTTGAATTAAGCTACAAGTACAAAAGGTCTGCTGCTACTTCAAAGCGAGATTTTTGGACAAACTCTTAATGTCACAACTGGTAATGATTTACGTCAATACGTCATAGCGCAACAGGTTAAGTAACTCCACAGGAATGTAGCTTTCGAACCTGGTCATATTAAACCAATCCAGCTGGGAAATGGCCTGCGTTGTGCGTCTCTAGCGACTTGGGTGGCCACTAGGTCCACTTTTCCCGGGCATTGATACGGCTAAAACGTATCTATAATTTTTTATTGTAAATTTAAATTATGATTTTTGTATATTTTAATGTAAATTTAAATTATTTTTGTGCACTAACATATTAATTCAGTGTCTAGTTCCAATTGTTGTTTCTGCATGTTTTTTACTATAAAATCAATATCTACGGAGATAAAAAAATCTATGGATTTAATGCGATTTTTTTCGGGCACAAAGGTTCTAGAAAGCACCGGACGGGCACAGAGGAGCCAAAGGGGCTCCACTCGTACTAGTGGCGCAGCCAGAGCCTTCGCCGCGCCCCATGGCCATGTGGGCCCCACCTACACCACCTTATGTTCATTCTTCCGCCTATAAATGTACGACCTCATAATCAACCAGCCAACGACTCTACCATCAAACAGATACTCTGGCGGACCGGGACGGGAGACCTAACCCGCATGCAAACATCTACATGCGAAAGTTAACACGCGATATTGAATCAATTTTCCTGACGATCAATCACTTAACACAGACAAGAAGCATGAGTATGGTCGGGGCCACGTGGAATACAACTACTTGTTGGAGCTTGTAATCAACTGTTTCAAGTACAAGTAAAAGCTCAGCTGGTACATGAGATGGGAGGGAGGAGAAGATGAGGAGCAGTAGCGGGGTGGAGGTGATACAGAGTAGGAGCTGCTTGTTATATAGGCACACGAGATGATGGGTGATGTCATAAAGATGACCAATGTGGAGAATCAAATTTGAATTGGGGGGAAAGGTGCCTTTGAGAACTCGAAAATGTGGCATTAACTGGATTGTGATGAATTTACTTTATAATCTGAAGTAGCAAATAGCAGTAAAAACTAAAAATGTGACTTTAGAAGGGTTTGGCGAAAAGGAGGCCACCAACACTTACCTTAGCCCCATCAGCGCCGCCGTGGGTTCTTGTGCTTTCCATTGGCCACTATGGTGGTGGAAGCAAGCGGGAACACTTGCTCTGTGTGTCTGGTCCTTGTCGCATAGGGTCTTTTGAGTTCTTTGTCACTCGTGAAGTTGGGGTAGCGGCGACGATGAGTCGATGAGAAAAATGGCTCTTAGCCTTGCCCAAGTCGATACTTTTCCTCGGAGTGGCGGAAATGATTCGGAGAATGGAGTTGATCATCGCGCTTGTTCTGGCGTGATTTGTTTGTTCATGCTGCCTACTTCCTGCAAAGGTGATGGCGTTGCAGCATGTTTTTGTTTTCCAGTTCCATATCCGTCTGATGAAGCTCAACTAAATACGGCTCCATCAAGGAAATTCTTAGATTAGTGTCCCCTCCTCTACCTGGCCGGAGTGAGGATTATCATTTGGTCCTCATCGATGCTAGTTCTCTGAGAAGGCAATATATGACCGCAATCGCCGTGTCTTCTGGTTCATATCGATGACTTCCCAACCAGTACTACGAGCTCCTGGATTTGAAAAAGTGTGCTCTTAGGGCATCTCCAGCCGCGTCCCCGGAAAGGCCTCTCCAGGCGTTTTTTTTTGCGCCGGCGCCGAAAAACGGTCCAGTCGCCCTCAGGAGCCCGATTTTCGCCGGCCTGGGCCGAAAACAGCGCCGGCGGACCCAGGCCGAACCCGGCGCGCTGGGAGGCGCCCGGGGGCGCCGGGGCGAACTGTTTTGGCGCGAAAAAGCCGCGTCAGGGACACGGCGGCTCGTCTTCCCCCAACTGCTTCGATTCCCGCGGGGAATCAATGGCAAGGTTGCCGCCGGTCAGCCTTGCCATTGATTCCTCACGGGCGGCGCGTCTTGGGACGGCGCGCCGACGCCTCCCCTCCCTCGCACGCGTACACACGGGCGCGGAGCGGCTATAAAAGCCGGCGGTTCTCGCCGGTGCCCACACCAGACTCGCCCCTCGCCGCCGCCCAACCCCTCTCTCTCCGTCTCCGTCTTCCTCTCCCGAGCGCCACCGGCAGCCCCTCTCTCTCTCCCTCTCTACCACCGCCGAGCCTGTCGCCATGGCAGAGCGCTTCCCCGGAGATGAGGCGGCGGCGAACGGCTTCGGCCGGCGTTCGCTCCGCGAACAGAAATCCTGACTCCTGTTCCAGGCGAACATCCCGGCGCCGCCGGACATGCGCGCCGGGCCGACGGGGTGGCGGCTCAGCGACGGGGGAGTGCCCCTTCCCCCGTTACCCGCCGCCGTGGCGAAGCCCACGTACTTCGCCGAGGAGGTCGAGGTCGCGCGCGCCTCCCTGACCGACGACGAGCGCTCCCTCCCCCAGTACGCCGCCGGCAATCACGCGGCTTGGGCGGCGTACTTCCAGCGCCGCCAGCAGCAGCGCCTGGCCTCCACCAACGGCGCGCTGGTGGTCGGCGGCGTGAAGAACAACGTGGGGCGCCACCTGTGGTGGGGCGTCCCGGGCCGCACGCTGGAGGGCGTGCTGACGCACCTCGATGGCGGCAACAACCCGCCATTGACCTATCCTACAACGGGGGCCGCCCCGTCGCAACACCGACGCGCATGGGTGCCAAGCAGGTTCGCCTCCTCCTCATCTTCCTCCTCTCGCTCCTCTTCCCACTCCTTCGGTTCTCCGGCGCTTCTCGGCGTCAAGGCCGAGCCTGCGGCGGAGACGCCAATCGGTCGGCGCACGCGCAGCGTCGGCATCGTCATCAACGAGGGCGGCCGGCGCGCCCCCTCCTCGTCGGCTCCTCCGCGCTTCGTCAAGCCGAAGATGGAGCTGCGGCTGGCGCCGGTGAAGACGGAGCCGGGGCTGGCGCCGGTGGAGGCGGAGTTCGACGACGATGACGCGACCCTAGAATGGGCGCGCTAGGACTCCATTGCAATGGAGAAGGCGCGCCG